GCCGGTGACATTCAAAGTACTGTCATCGCGAAATTGTAAAATTAAAAAAAAATTGTAATCGACAACTATACGAACAAAATGGCGCGTTAATTTTCTTAGTCAAAAGTGTATTAAAAAAATTATTTATAATAAAAAAGAAAAAAATGTTTTAGCGCGAATTTTAAAAAAATTGTACTGTATTCGATAGGAAATTTATTAATTTATAAGAAAAAATTTGACTTACCGAAAGGATACATACATACATACCTACTTACAGGGTGCGAAAGTGCGAAAATTTCACCATTATTGCGTATATTGTTTTTTTAATTTTACGTGTTTTACAGTGATTACCAAAAATATGTATGTCTAAAAACTACCGGAAGTACCTATCTGGTATACCAGTTCTATTTCATTTACTTCCTTTACATCAACTATAAAACTCAGAAAGTTCAATTATTTTAAGCTATAAGCTTTTTTCTACGTGAAATAAAGGGACTAGCAAAATCTGAAGTATCTTTTATTATCAAATTTCAATCTGACCTTGTAATTGCCCAGCACATCAGAAATTTGAGATATTTTCATTTTAACCCAAAATCTAAATTTTGCTAATTTGCCATGCATGGAATTTAGATTTTAATATTATAGGGCAGTTCTGGAGTCAAGTTGATGTTCGCTTTGAAAAATGCATCGGTGTGTTTTACAACCGCATTAGTGGTGCGCTTTTTTTCAAGTTTCTTCTCTTATTCGAGGACACTATTCCTGCTATGGATAGCTGAAAAAGGCATCAGACAAGAGACTAGGTAATCATTTTCTGTGTATTCTTCGCTTGCGTACTCAAACGTACCATCAGAAACGGTAGAGAACGCTGAAGTTTCGAGATATCCTGACCTTAAAAGCAAACAACACCAAATTAACACTCTTTGAATTTTTATGTGATATCACAATCTTAATGTGCCGGAGAAATAATGTTCAAAAAAGGACCAAACAGTAATTTACTTGGAATTTGATATTTCAAAATCCAGACGTGCTGTAACAACTCTGAGACAAGGTNGTGGCGTGAATATTGACTAGAAATCGATAAATAATTCATCAGGAAACGTAAGTACTATTTTCCTAATCACGTTCTATACTTATGCGATAAAATGAAACAACTGATCATAGATAATACCTTTGCAGGTAATTTAGAGAATTTAAGACTATTAAGCCAACATGGTTTATAGGCGAGGAGCCGCTGACATTGAAAGTTATCGCGGAATTGTAAAATTTTTAAAAAAATTGATAATTGATAATTACACGAACAAAATGGCCTTGGTACGCGTTAATTTACTTAGCCTAAAGTATATTAAAGAAATTATAATAAAAAAGAAAAAACTGTTTTAGCCATTATCGCGAATTTTAAAAGATTGTACTGTATTCGATAGGAAATATTAATTTAAAAAACAATTGGCTTATCAATTAGCCGAAAGGACATGGCATACCTACTTAAAAGGTGTGAAAGAGGGTAAAATTTCACAATTATCGCGTAGACACTTTTTTAATTTTGTGTGTTTTAATGTAATTAACATAAATATTTTGGTATGCATGTCTAAAAACTACCGGAAGTATCTGGCATACCAGTTCTATTTCATTGGCTTCCTTTACATCAACTATAAAAGTCACAACACGTTCAATAATTTTGAGCTTTAAGCTTTTCTGAAAGGATCTACGTGAAATAAAAGAACT